TATTCTCAAGCTGAGGTGTCTGCTGAGAAAAGCCACTCCGCGTCTCCCTGGTCTGCTGGGGGGGGCGCTAGCTTCGCGTCTCCTTGGTCTGCTGGGGGGGCGCTAGCTTCGCGTCTCCCTGGTCTGCTGGGGGGAAACAGCTAGTGCGGGGTTGCCTCACCCCGTTTGTAAGTAGGGATCCGATGTAAATCGGATCCATGTAACCCGGGGACTGCCTGTATTGCATTTTACTGTATGGAAGTGTCCCAAAATGGTAGAAGTTGTCCTTAAAACCTCAACTGCTTTCTTAAAATGTTGGTGAATACAACTATTTATTCCACTACATTCTGAGTGTGTCCCCAGTACAGAGTCTCAGAGGAGTAGCTGTGCTAGTCTGCAATTTAAAAAATTTAAAACATAATGAATGGTCCTGCAGCACCTTAGAGGCTAACAAAAAAATAGATAGCATCATGAGAATACAGCAGGGACAAATACTTGTCAGCAGAAGTGGATTGTGCCACGAAACCTCATGATACTATCTATACTTTCTGTTAGTCTGTAGGGTACATCTACACAGCACAGCTACACAAGCCGCCCGTTATTTCAAAATATTTTTTGAAATAATGGGCCCACTATTTCGCCATCCCGGTAATCCTCCTTGCATAAGGGATAACGGATCACTCATAGAATCACAGAATTATAGAATAATAGGACTGGAAGGGACCTCGAGAGGTCATCGAGTCCAGCCCCCCGCCCTCAAGGCAGGACCAAGCTCCGTCTACCATCCCTGACAGATGTCTATCTAACCTGTTCTTAAATATCTCCAGAGAGGGAGATTCCACCACCTCCCTTGGCAATTTATTCCAATATTTGACCACCCTGACAGTTAGGAATTTTTTCCTAATGTACAATCTAAATCTCCCCTGCTGCACTTTAAGCCCATTACTCCTTGTCCTGTCCTCAGTAACCAAGAGGAACAAATTTTCTCCTTCCTCCTTGTGACACCCTTTTAGATATTTGAAAACCGCTATCATGTCCCCCCTTAATCTTCTTTTTTCCAAACTAAACAAGCCCAGTTCATGAAGCCTGGCTTCATAGGTCATGTTCTCTAGACCTTTAATCATTCTTGTCGCTCTTCTCTGTACCCTTTCCAATTTCTCCACATCTTTCTTGAAATGTGGCGCCCAGAACTGGACACAGTACTCCAGCTGAGGCCTAACTAGTGCAGAGTAGAGCGGCAGAATGACTTCACGAGTTTTGCTTACAACACACCTGTTGATACAACCTAGAATCATATTTGCTTTTTTTGCAACAGCATCACACTGTTGACTCATATTCAACTTGTGGTCCACTATGACCCCTAGATCCCTTTCCGCCATGCTCCTTCCTAGACAGTCGCTTCCCATCTTGTATGTATGGAACTGATTGTTCCTTCCTAAGTGGAGCACTTTGCATTTCTCTTTATTAAACCTCATCCTGTTTACCTCTGACCATTTCTCTAACTTGCTAAGGTCATTTTGAATTATGTCCCTATCCTCCAAAGAAGTTGCAACCCCACCCAGTTTGGTATCATCTGCAAAATGATCAACTCAAAATGGTATCAACTCAAAATGGTGCATTATTTTAAATTAGTTTCAAAATAAGATACGCAATTTGCATAGCGTACACCTACACAGCAGCATTATTTCAGAATAACTGACATTATTCCAAAATAACAAAATGCACATCTACACTACAAGCCTTTATTCCAAAATAATATCAAGCTAAAGGACTTCTTACTCTGACTCACGGTAACCCTCATTGCACAAGGAGTAAGGGAAATCGAAGTGTTCTTCCCTCAACTTCCTGTTGTGTAGACAGCGCCAAAAGCCGCATTAAACTATTTTGACTTACTCTATGCAATTGACATAGCCGAAGTTGCATAGCTTAAGTCAATTTTAGCCCTGCTATGTAGACATACCCTAAGGTGCTGCACGGCCATTTATTGTTTGAATTCTCCCCCCCAAAAATATAGAGAAATTCAGATGCTAATAACACTGCTCAGCAGGTAGGATTGGCATTGAATGAAGTATTTTACTGAGGACCAATCTTTCGTTTAATCTTTTCCATCCACGTGATTTTTTCCATCCACGTACAGAATACATTTTTATGTGCAGTGAGGCATAGGCAAATGTGCACCACCAGTAGAAAATAAAAGCTAACTGTGGGTTCTCAGCTGGGCGGCATTTGAATCTCTCCTTAGCAGCCTCACAAGCGCATACCTTATGGTAAATACTGTTGAGAACAGGAATTAATCCTAGATTTGAGCTTTCTTCTGTCACAATTTGCCATGACACCAAATCAGACACCCACTTATCTCCTTCTGACTATAGTCCTGATCCTACAATCCGATACATGTGGGAAGCCCCCTGTGCTCTTACAGAACTTCATTATTAGCCACAACCCGTGAAGATTAAAATAGCAGGTTGAGCAGTGCTCTGGTAGTGAGGTGGGAAGAGATCTCATATCCCATCCTTACACTGCACCACTTTAATTGCTGGTATGACAAGGAAACGCTGAGACAAACAATCAACAACCTACAGATGCATAAGAAAAATATCACAAGAAGGAGCACTCCAAGATCACCCGCAGGAGCCATTGGACAAAGAGGATGTCAGTCCAATAATAGTGATTGCTTCCACAAACATCATGGCAAACCCTGTGGAACACCATCTTGCCGATAAGGCAGCCTAGTGAAGTGATCCACCATCAGTGATCCACCATCAGCTGCAGTGGACTTCACCTCCACTTACAAAGATAGGAGCCTCAGGAGGAAGAAAGGAGAGCAATGAGGAAAAAAAAGCCTGAAGAAAAAGGATAGAAATGTGGCTCTAACTCAAGCATATGACCAGCCAAAAGGGGCAGAGGGAAGACAGGGTACAACTTAACTGATGGGCTATGCTGGTGCAGCTAAAGGTAGCACTAGTAGGAATTTGGTAAGTCAGCCTCTTCTGAAATCAAGGACACACATAAAAGAGTCTTACTTATGAATTGACAATGACATCTAATAGAATAAACGTATACAACAAATGGTCTGGTAACACTTTATAGACTAACAAAACAATTTATTTGGGGTCTGGACATCCTAAACTCAAAATTCCGGTCATCTGAAGAAGTGGGCTGTGCCCACGAAAGCTCATGATACTATCTACATGTTTTGTTAGTCTATAAAGTGCTACGAGACCATTTGGGTTTTTTAAAAATTTATTCTGTACAGACTAACTCGGCTACCCTGAAGTATCTAATAAAATAAATGTCCCAGCAGAGTTGTTGGGGGGGGGGGGGGGAAGTGCGTGCACCTATGTGATTTCTTCAGGTTGTAATTTTTTTTATATCACTCTTTACTGATGTGTATTACTTTTACGTAGGCAATTTTTTCAGTGTCCAGAGTTACAAATGTCAGCATTTACTTGATCAGCATGGTTTTATTGGCTTGCCCACTCTACTGATATGAACAATTCACTCATTAATATATTAAAACACATGATCAAGATTACAAATTGTTTAAGGAGTTTTGACAAACAAGTCCCTTGGTGGTCTTGAAGCTTCTGAGACACAGATGGATGAGGTACAATTTTATAGATTCTCTCTCCTATTTGAGTAAAGCTGCTGAGGTCTAAAGTAGGCTTTAGTGCAAACAGGGGACATTGTCAGACAGTAAAGAGACAATTGCCTGTGTTAGCACAACAATTAATTTTGTTTGCTGAGCACCAATCTGTCTATTTGTTACCAGGAATGTGCTAATTATTCCTGCTAATTACATGCAAAACATTCATTATCACCTATATGTGGAAGAGGGCCCCTCAGGTTTCAGTGACAAATTAATTACTGTGTTTTCCTTCTGAACATATTTAGATTGTTCCTGTTATTATCTACAAAATAAATTGGTTAGCAGGAAGCTTGTCTCTCAAAGACGTTCTGCAAACAGAAAAGTAGTTGAACAAATATTGTAAGCTAGTTACTTTTCCCTTTTTTTTTTCAAGAAAGCTATTTTCTGAAACTGTGGTAACTATGACATTAATTTACAGATTCTTAATTCTAATAAAGTGTACTATGTTATGTTCCATTATGTAGCTGCTTTCAAAAAGCAGCACTTCGGGCATTTACAGTATAGAACAAAGGAAAAAGCCAGGATGGATTCAACCAAAAGAAAGAATATAATCAACACAAACCCACTGGTCAAACACCACAGCCAAATACATTTCAGACTCACCCTCATAGTCTTAAAATCAATAGTATGTGAATAAACAGGAGGAGGTAAATGCCTGTAGCTATACAGAATAGTGATAGAAATGTAGCCGTGTTAGTCTGGTGTAGCTGAAACAAAATACAGGACTATGTAACACTTTAAAGACTAAAGACTTGTTAGTCTTTAAAGTTCTACATAGTCCTGTATTTTGTTGTAGCTATACAGATTTTCATTACCAAATCTCTAGTTCAATAGTCATTTTTTCCATGTCCTCTCTGTACAAGCACATGAATATCCCACCTCCAAGTATGACCATACTACAGTGGTTGAGGGGGCAGGAAAATGTAACACTTTAATTATGCAAGTATAGTTAAAGTGGCACAAATTCTGTTTATAGATAAGGCCTTAGGGACAGAAAGAGGTTAGGATGCCAGGAGCCTTCACATAGCGTACAGTCATCGACATTATCTAGATGCTCAAAATGAGCTCTGTTTGAGCAAACCGGAATAGCCATACCCAGCCAGTCACTGAAGGAGGACACAGGAGGAGGGACAAGCAGGATCAGAGGATCTCCACTAAATAGAATCTCTAATCCTTCACCCCATTCCATGCACTGAGGGGGATACCAGTCCCATGGTTCCTACCCATTGTCCACTCTGCAGCCTACGGAGAGAAAATGTCTTGTACCCCCAGTGATCCCAAGTGCCATTTAAGTTGCCCAGGCTGTTTTCTGGGGGCCATGTTTTGGGTGTTGTCTATATGACATATTAGGCCATATTTGAACAGGGTTGGGTGCACTCAAGCTGGCTGACAGGATATTTGAAAACAACCGTTCCTGGGCTACACTTACTGGAAAGCTGTGGACAGCCTGGAGCAAGCTACCTCGAGTACTTCCAGTTATAATCAAAGAGTGTTTGACATCATCAGCAGAAACTGAGAGGTTTAGTAAAATGAACTTAATATAGAAGTATGAAAGAGCTTCCACAGAAAAAAACAAAGGACCATAATTATCGTTAGAAACTTCCATCAGATGACACAGATTTATTCAAATTATTATAATACACTAATCATTTCTCTTGCAAAATTGTAGGCATGGCCTTTTTAGTGATCACATGCTCTCTTTCTAACCCTTTCTTGTTTATCACTTGTAAAATATTGCCATTTTAGTTTCATTGCAAATATTATGACCATATTTTCCACTGCAGCTGCCTACAAGTAGGAACCTAAACCAACTAAAATTTCCACATCATGCATCTGATTAATTGGGTTTCAGCCGATAAAAGCTTATGCCCAAATAAATGTGTTAGTATTTAAAGTGCCACGGTACTCCTCAATATTTAAAACTATTTTGAGGCACCTAAATAAAAAGTAGCCTGACAGTCAAAGGTATTGAACATGCATAATTTCTCCTGATGTCAACATTCCTATTATTTAGGTCTCCAGAGATACATATATAACATTATTGGAATTTATTTTAAAAATATATTTCATGATGAGCACACTAGATAATCAACATCTGTATACCGTAAAAGTCAAACTAAGTAATTTTGGATCCATGCAAAAACTGTACTTATCAAAGCTAATTTAAATCCTACATTTCCATAACATTTACCTAACATTTACCGTCTAAATATTCCTGCATACAGAACTCCTATAGCAATATTGTATTTGTTCACATTGTAGTTCTTAAAAATGGATACGTATTTCCTGGCTAGAGATAAAATAAGGCTATCAAGAAAATATTCAGTACAACATAATATATCAGTCTCAGGCAAAATTTTAGAAAGGGACCTACCATAACTTGTTGTGCATAATCAGCACTGGAAACTAAATAAATGACTACTATTTGATTATCCACATAATTTTAAAATAGTTTGAGTGGTAGTTGGCTTATTTCCTACTAAATGGGATTACGGTTGCACAACAAGTATGTTTTAAACAGGAACAATATGCTTCTGGTGGCACAAAACTCCTGGAATTTTGGGGGGGCTAGTTATTTTTTTCCTTACACTATGTACTCCGAACTCTCCATTCTCTCTAGAAGAGTAGCTCAGATGAACATTTCCTGTTGGGGTTTATATGGCCAGTTGATACTCTGGAGGCTCACTCCCCCATCCTTCTACATAAATGAACATTTAACAGAAAGGGTAAATACATTAAGAATAAATGGTAAATAAGGGAAGAGGAAGTAACTTTGTAGATAACTTGAGCAGGTAGTTTCCTGTATATGTTGTGGAAGATGTGGATCTTGAGGAGGAAGAGAAAGAGAGAGTCTTTGCAGTCCAGCTCATGGAAAAGAATTCCGTGTACACACAGCTTCCGGGAAGAAAATGAGGAGGCTGTTGTGAAAGAAGTGGACAAATAGGTCAAGTATCCGAAAAATAAAGGTCACATGGCAACTGCAACTAGTGACTATGCAGTGGTCTGTGTCCTAACTAGGACATGCTGTAAATACTATATAACACTTCACTGTTCACACCAGCTCAACCTTACTGATTCTGGATCAAAGTCAAGGCACCCATCCTTACTTCAAAAACATCAATAGACTAGACTGATTCTTTTCCTATGGTGGCCTTTCTTCCACAGAGCACTGAAGCAGCTACAATCAATTGGGACAAAGACTGAGGCAGTCTCAGTGGAAATCAAGCCATTTACCACCAAAGATGAGGCAGCGTTTGTGCTAATTTCGGGCATAATACAAGATGCATCTCTCTAATTTTTCTCACCAACCAAATAAAAGCAGTAAAATACCTACTAAGCAATGGTTTCCTCAGTGACAGACACCAATCAACAACAATAATGATGACTTAGAGCCATCTTCAGACAGAAATCATTGTGTACATTAGTTGTGCACCTAAATAGTATGGGGATAGGTGCAGAAGATGGGTGCATTTTATATCAGTTAATATCAAAGCTAATATTATCTTAACATGATCTAACAAAGCATTTTTTCCTTTTTCCATGGGTCTTCAGAACCATCTCTGTTGTTTTACTCTCATATGTTGCTGCATCATATTGAAATGAACACAAGTACTTAGGAATAAATGAGCAAATTCATCTGTCATCAGCCATGAATCCACAGACCTACAAAGTAATCATTAAGAGACCTACACTAAAGAAGATGTTGTTTAAATTTTATCAAGTCAGACAAAGTAACTGCCTACTCACAGATAATTAAATGTTACATTCTTAACAGTAGTAGAAATTCTCATCTTCACTCCCATAAGTCTACCATAAGCAGATAAATGGCAGCATCTGCAGGAGAGAGAGAGAGATTTTATTTTAAAGGTGACATTCTAGTATAATAAATGAGCATAGAGAGATTATAGCTCCAAAAATATTATTAAATTGTATGTTGACAAAAATTGGATCAATTCTCATGCACACCCACACATACATCCCAAAGAATCTGGTTGTCAGATGCCATCACAGACAGGGCCAAGAGAAGCCTGCCGGTTTTGGTTCTTATGAGCTGTTCTGTTCTGTATAGGATTCTCTCTGCATTCCTCATGGTAGAGTTTGAGTCCTTAGTGCATTAGCAATGTGACTAACATCTGTCACGTGTTTGTTCGTTGTTCGTGTCTAAATCAAGCAATACGTAGTGGGATTTTGAAAAATACAGTTAAAAATCTCTCTCAGTGGTCTTTGGGGAAGGGACTGCCTTTTTGTTGTGTTTACAGGACCTAATGCAATGGGCATGACTTGAGTCCCCAGTTTGGTGATCTAGCCAAAACTGCTTTACAGATAAGAGAAAATAAAAGTGTGGAATTACTTTCAGTGAACAGCTATGAGAACCATACTACTATTACTTTAGCATGGATATTGGGAAGTTTGCAACAGCATTCTTTGAAATTTACATGACTTCAAATATAGTGAATGACAGATGGGTGAGGTAACATTTTTACCAGACCAAATTCTACTGATGAGAGAGATAAGCCTGAAGGAGATACCATCCATCTATTCCTTTATGTTGTCTCACAGAGGGGAAAAAAGTCAAACAATAACCATCCAATTCCTGGAAGGCAATCTACTCTGACAACTCTAACTATCATTCTGCCCTGATAGGCTACCAGTCAGACTGCAATAGACTGGTTCTAAATGCTTAAGAAAATGAAGGTTTTTATTTTAAAAATGTTTAAAGAGCTGTACTCTGTCTTCACACATCACATAGCATTACACATTTCTGTCATAATATACATCCAATCATTCCATTGCGCATTTTATGAGGATCGCCTATTAATCTGTTACCTCCCCAAATAAAATTGCATCCTGAACAAGACATTGCCATGAAACCAGGAGATGTTACAGGCTTCTATAGGGGCCAGAGCAATTGGTCTGGGTTGCGTCACACAAAATAAACTCATGGAAACCTGCATCAGTTTTATCTTTATTGTTCTCTCAAAAGCATGGTCACACATACGGAGTGAATGCTTGGTGGTATGGTTTAACACAGTTGTGTTAACATCCAACTATCAAAGTTACGGCTGCTGTGACAGGAAGTGGAGTGTACTGGAAAAAAAACATGACCACACAGTGAAATACAGCGTATAGGCATAGAGTAAAGGTTATACAGAATTATATATGTGCAACTATGGAGGCTTTTGTGTAGGCAAAGAGGGAAGGTTGCTGTGAAAAGAATTCTGCTTATGCTGACAGGAAAGCCTTTGGTTCTGTTCACCCTGAATCTTGATTAGATATTTCAGCATCTCGGTTTGGTCTTCCATGTGCTTTAGCATGTGCTCAGTGGCTTCTGTTCTAGCCACTAGCAACTGGATGTGGAGCATGAAGCAAGGGAAGAGATGCAGGATTAGTTGCTCTATTGCAGTGGGATGAGCAGTGAAGTAATATGGTGTGTTGCTCCTCTCCCTGGTCATTTTTGTTTCTGGATGCAAGTGGGGAGAGCCCAGCTCCTTATGCAGCCCAACTCTGTGCTGCCTTGGTTCCAGCAGCACAGTTTGAGGAATGGTTTGGGAGAGTGTCATACCATGGTAATGTTAAAATAGAAGTCCTGCCATGGAATCTCTGTAAAAAAATTAGTAAGTACATCAGGAAAAGGTTCAACACCATCTCAACAAGATTCTATTAATATCTGAGTGTACATCAATGCTCTATTAGTACACATCACAGTCTACGCAGAAATTAGCCAGTGCACAGAAATACAGCTGCCAGTCACCCTGCATGGCTCTCCACCCCACTGCAATAGAGCAACCTACCAACCCACACCACTACCTGCCCCAACCCCTCTCCACTGCAATAGAGCAACTTACTGCCCTACACTGTTGCCCCACTCAAACCCTTCTCCCATCTGCAGTAGAGCAATTTACCACTCCATGCCACTGCCTCACCCCTAGATGCAAAAGAGCAACTTACCTCCCCACACCACCACCCGCTTCACCATCCCAGCTATAACAGAACAACTCACTGCTCTGTCCAGCCCACCCATACCCTGCTGCAATGGAGTAAATAACCCTGCATCTCTTCCCTTGCTTCATGTTCTATGTCCAGATGCTGAGACTCCCCATGAGCCTCAGAGCTTGAGAACAATTCTTGCCTGCCTGCCACATCAGTTGACCCCACAGTGAGGTCTACTTGTCTGCTTCAACATCTTCATCAAGAACTTCTGCCTTCAGGTTGACTCCTATCTCTGCTGACTCTGTGCTATGGGAAGTAGCCCCAGGTTCCTTGGCTAGGGTCCCCACCCAGGACCGTGTCTAGTTCTTTATAAAAATGACATATTTAGAATGCGGCATCAGACCTGCTTGTTTGCCTCCTTCTCCTTCTGGTATGCCTGTGGAGTTCCTTTGTCCTGGTTCTGCATTGTAGGGTGTCTTGCTCAAACCCCTTCTCACAAAGGGCTCAAGAAATGTAACCGTACGTGTCCCATTTCCTATGGGGCACTCATAGTTGTGATTGCAACAATTCTTTACCCCACACACTGATAAGATCCAAAACCTCTAGGGTGCTCCAAGAAGGAGAGAGACTTGAGCAATGGCCATCTCTGTTTCCCTGGGAAGATGCCATGAGGAGCCCTAAATCCTGAGCCAGACAGCAGGAAATGGATTTTTAAATTCCTGGGGTTTGCAGGGGGGGTGATGCATTTCTGTTTACTGGCTTATGTGGTTGCAGAACAGCGGAGTTCAAAGCACCGGCCAGAGTGGCTAATCGCGCATTGCAGGAAACATCCTGGAGTTCAATAAACTCAAAAGAAAAAAACAAAACACTGTAATACATAATTGTTGACAGAAGTCCCTTGTGGCGCTGGAAATTTTTGTCACCAAAACTGAGCATTTTTTCACAATGCAATATGAATGCTCTCCCAGTAGAGATGCCAAAAAAGGGAAGTTTGGTGACAAAACTTGCCATTGTAGAAAAACCCTCTGACTGAACTGAATACGGATAGTCCCGATATTCTATAGCCCTTAAATGTTGCATAAGTACAGGCAGTCCCCGGGTTACGTACAAGATAGGGACTATAGGTTTGTTCTTAAGTTGAATTTGTATGTAAGTCGGAACTGGCTCCCGATTCAGCCACTGCTGCTGAAACTGACCAGGGGCTGACTACAGGAAGCTGGAGGCAGAATTGCTCTGCCCCCAGCTTCCTGGAATCAGCCACTGATCAGTTTCAA